TTTTTGTAAGTTTTTTCTAAATTAATAAAAATCATATGTAGATCCTCATTATTCTCTCTGAACTTTTCCATCAAATCTCTCAATAATGTATAGCTTCCACAGTAGACCTACCCAACATAAATCCAAACAAATTATGAGAAATCTTTGTAACATGCCATTACTTGTGTTCAATTAACCTCTCCCATAATTTTAAAGCATGACACATCAACATTTGCACACTCAAGTGCATCCCCTTTATTCTTAAAAATAAAGATCAAAATACCCTTCCTCCACTCCTTTGGCATCACACTTTTTATAATAATATTAAAGAGTTTAGTCAGCCAAAAAACTACCAAATCTCTTATATATTTTCGCACTTCAATTGGGATATCATCAGGTCCTACAGACTTTCCACCAATGATTATCTTTAAGGCCTCATCAACTTCTTTTTTACTAATGCAACAGTCAAAATGAAATATTTTATTATTATTAACGACATTAAGATCACTAAAATCGATTGTATTTTCAAAAACTTCATTGAAAAGTTTATCAAAATAGCTCACTCAACTATGTTAAATATTTTCCTCTAAGAAAAATACTTTTTGATTTTCATCTTTAATACATTTTATTTGAGTTAAATCTTTAATTTTCTTTTCTCTTTGATTGGCTATCTCATACATATATTTTTCATTATCTTTAATATCTAATCTAAAGATCACTAGAATTTTTCAAATCACAAATTATTCTCTTAGACTCCCTATAGGCTACCTTATATTTTTTTCAATTCTCTAAATTTTTACATTTCAACTAATTTTTATAACACTTCTTAGAATCCCTACGAACCAACTTATATTAATAATAATAATTTCAAGAAATTTGAACCCTCCATCTCCACATACCTCAAAAAGATCACTAGAATTTTTCACATCACAAATTATTCTCTTAGACTCCCTATAGGCTACCTTATATTTTTTTCAATTCTCTAAATTTTTACATTTCAACTAATTTTTATAACACTTCTTAGAATCCCTACGAACCAACTTATATTAATAATAATAATTTCAAGAAATTTGAACCCTCCATCTCCACATACCTCAAAAAGATCACTAGAATTTTTCACATCACAAATTATTCTCTTAGACTCCCTATAGGCTACCTTATATTTTTTTCAATTCTCTAAATTTTTACATTTCAACTAATTTTTATAACACTTCTTAGAATCCCTACGAACCAACTTATATTAATAATAATAATTTCAAGAAATTTGAACCCTCCATCTCCACATACCTCAAAAAGATCACTAGAATTTTTCACATCACAAATTATTCTCTTAGACTCCCTATAGGCTACCTTATATTTTTTTCAATTCTCTAAATTTTTACATTTCAACTAATTTTTATAACACTTCTTAGAATCCCTACGAACCAACTTATATTAATAATAATAATTTCAAGAAATTTGAACCCTCCATCTCCACATACCTCAAAAAGATCACTAGAATTTTTCACATCACAAATTATTCTCTTAGACTCCCTATAGGCTACCTTATATTTTTTTCAATTCTCTAAATTTTTACATTTCAACTAATTTTTATAACACTTCTTAGAATCCCTACGAACCAACTTATATTAATAATAATAATTTCAAGAAATTTGAACCCTCCATCTCCACATACCTCAAAAAGATCACTAGAATTTTTCACATCACAAATTGCTAGGTCATTCCAAAATTTATCTTTAGAACATATATCTGAACCTACTTGAGAAGCATAAACACTTATAATAATAAAAATCTTAGTATCAAAAATAAACTTAAGAATTATAATTCAAACTCCAAATCTATCACTTTTTACATCATCTTTCAAACTCTAATCTATAATTACACCTACACTTTCTAATGCGGCTTTAACCTAAATACAAAAGTTTAAAACCTAAGTTATCAATCTCCTTAGTCTTTTCTCCAACCCATTTAGGGTGCGTTTGAGGTGACGTCCAAGTCGCGACGCGGCGGCTGGCCGCAATTTGCGGCCATTTGGGACTGCATCTGGCGTCCGAATGTTTTGATTAAACGTCGGTCACGGATCGAACCCCACGACCTGCGTTCGAGGTTTGGCTTTTTACGAATCTTACCCCTCTTCTGTTTGATCCCAGCATTCGACACCTATTACCCCTCTTCTGTTTGATCCCAGCATTCGACACCTCTGTTCAACCCCGACTCCCTCATTGCTCCTTATTTTGAGAAATCAGAGACGAGCAAAGAAAAGAATGGTGCGAACAGGCTTACCTTCCTCAATGGTTTATGTTAGGAGAGGAGTGGAAGGATGAGAGAGATGAGAGTTTCGATGGTCTATGTACGCTGCTATCCCGCCATTGCCTTCCCAACTTGCTTTGCGAGGGTTCGTTAATGAAGGCCATGGTTTCGGCGAAATCGGGAGGGTTTTGGGCACAGAGAGAGGGTAAGCTGGAGAAGGGTTTATGGTTTTAATTTATTTTTTATTTAAGTTTTATTTTCATTAATTTAAGTAATTAACATTTAATGATTAATTCATATATTTTCATGAATTAGATAAATTTATATATTATTTAATGATTAAATAATTACTTTATAAACATATTTTTTAAGTTTTAAATTATTTGATAAAAATCTAAGTTTTCTTAATTAATAAAACTAATAAATTATTAATCAATGTTAATTTATTACTTAAGAAATAATTTGTTTAATAAAAAAATTATTTAATATTTTGTTACAAAGAGCATTACTACACAGTGACGAGATGGTCATTTTCCAAAAACAGTTGCCACAAGATTATTTTAAAATTGTAAAAAATAAATAGACCAAATAGACAACCAGTTTTCTCGCAATAGCTTCCCCACAACTTCTTAGGGCAGCTAAGCTGCAGCTGATAAATAAATAGACAACCAATTTTCTCGCAATAGCTTCCCCACAACAACTTCTTAGGGCAGCTAAGCTGCAGCTGATAAACTGCAGCTACCCCAAACAGACTCTTAGTTTCTTGAATATATAAGATATTTATCTTTTTATGAATCATAATATAAACTAATTCTATTAAATTACCTGTGATAGCACATATATTCCAAGATCATATCCTAATACTAGTTTCATGGACTAACATCTTTACCTTCATCCGTCCGTAATGTGGGAACTCATACTTATTTGACACTTTTCACACCCAGGTGTGTAGCGATCCTTGCACACTTTTCACTGCATTCAGACGATACAGTGCGTCACTTCCAGGAGACGCCTTAGTATTTACACAATGATCAAAATGATTCATGTCATGATTTTTCGACAAATTTTACATTGATTGTCGACTACCTAACACAACCCTTAACTTTTCACATTATCATGAAAATGAATTTATCATTAACATTGATCACAATCCAGTATAACATCATCAAACTAAAAATGAGAAGATGGATTGGAATTTCATGAAAGAGAAACTAGAAAGTAAATTAATTTGCAATTCATGTTCCAACAAGAAGTTACTCGCAAACACATTTATCAAAAGATTTTGCAAACAAACTCCCAAAAAAATCTTAAGCAAACTTGAATAGTAGATCTGAACCATACAGTTTGAAGAGACGTTCTGAAATTATTAAGATTGTTAAATAAGGAAAGAAAACAACCATGAATCCATGACCTAAATAAGAAAAAATATGTCACGGACTCATGTGCTTAAAATAGAAAGAGAAAATATGAATTCATGTGCTTAACATAGATTTGAGGGTGCCACTGATTGCTCCCCTCACTCCCACCAACTAAGAAAATTATGAACAGTTTAAATTTTTAAATCATTTAAAATTAATAGTTTTTAATTGTTAGGTAGTTTTCTATATAAATATCAATTAAAGGAATGAATAAAACAAGCTTTCTAGAACTTCTTTTCTAAACATGTCTTTAAATACGTAATTTTTTAGTTATAATACAATCTTTTTACAAGGAACGGAGCTCATAGCCTCACACATTTTACATCAATAATTCACATCTTTGAATGAAAGAAAAAGTATATCATCTTCACCTTTCAATTCACAATATCACATTTAATTAATTAAAGTATACTTTAAATATCAATCATTCAAAGATGTAGAAGAAGGTTGAAAGTTGTCTGAAGAGAAGAGCTTCCATTCTTATAGTAGTCTAATTGTAGTTGTATTATTATCATATTATAAATAAAATTTCTCCAAAATTATAATATTTTAAAGCTATTTAATTTAATTTATATAATGTTTTTTTAAAAATATTATTAACTGGATGACAAATCTAAAGCTAAAGTTGTAGAGGCAGATGGAGTTTTAAACCTGGCATTAAATAATGAAAACTCATACTAGATATGGTGCAGGAATGAGGACCTGCCCAGTCAGATTAAGCGGCAACTTTGAGCACGATTTGGGCCTCCATGCAGCATTATGTATTCAAATCGCAGGATTTGGGCCTCCATGCAGCATTATGTATTCAAATCAAACCATACCCAATTTTAAGTTTATTTATATTAATGAGAAGCAATACATAGCGACATATCACCATCAACATTATTAGCCTTATTGAAATTCATTTCAGATTAAAATATAGTAAAATGCCACATTTCAGATAAGCTAATGCAGTTTAGCATGTGCGTCTAGCAACTAAAATTGAGGCCCAAGCAGGACCATTTTGAAGGTTCGGTTCACATAAAACAGTTGGCATACATACAGGTAAAGTAAACAATTTATGAACAAACACGTTACTTCTGTTACATTTGAGAAAACAGGACTAGCGTTTTTTCAATTTTGGTAAAGCTGAGATTGGGTAACAAAGAAATAACAAGTTATACAATAAGTTTCACTGGTGCACTTTCCAATATAAGCATCAATTCAATAAGTCGTCTGGCTCAACATAAAAAGTTATAGTTCCTTTTCTTAAAACATTTTTGGCAACGCCAAAGATAACAACAGAAAAGAAACTAATAGCTACAGCATATATCAACAGAGAAACCCTTAAAATTTTGTTAAATGTAGAGACACCTGGATATTGTCACCACGTGGATGCTTTCTTGCTCCTTTCTCTGGTACATTAACAACCTAAGAAAAAATAAGATGATAAGAACGTGGCCAGGGGCAAGACAAGTGTTTGGAGAGGG